CCACGCAGAAGGCTTTCTGGTAGTCTTCATAGCTGGAATAACCACTTTTGTTGACAATAGTAGCAACACAGAGATGAATTACCTCAAATATCATACGCGTGTTGACTTTTATTCATAATAAGAGCCACACACATCTTATTTTTGCTGGGATGCTCTCTGGAATGATCACTTTTATTGACAAAAGTAGCAATGTGCAACTTATTTTGCCCTTTGATCATGCGCATGTTCACTTTTCTCAGCAATAGTGATCACACGCAGCTTATTCCTTCTACCTAGACTTGGGTGTGTTCACTTTTCTTCAAAATATTGATCACGCGCAGCTAATTACTCTTACCCAGATCTGGAACAATCACTATTATTTGTAATAGTGATAACGTAGAGCCTTTCTTCATGGGCATGGCTACTATTGTTGGAAAAAGTGTTAACATGTAGGTTAGCCTCTGAACTTAAGCTCTAGAGTGATCACTTTCCTTACAAAAAGTGGTAACGCCCAACACTTAGCTTTATTATTCTTTACTTTTTGTGTCCAAAATTGCTACTTTCTTCTACTTTTCTTTTAATCTTCCAACCTTATGATCTTAGCTCAAAGTTTCCTACAAAATATGTTCTAATCAGTAATTGTTTGTACAAGAAATTCATAAAATCTAAACAACTAAACTATTTAAAAAGAAATTGAACATTCTATCATTTTTATGAATATTTTAGCTTTCTCAATCCATTTTTCTATACAAAATGTATTAAAAACTAAAGTAAATTACTAGTAAAATATGGATTTATCAATTGGCATACGTTGTATCCGTGTTGCTGCGACTATCCAACAACTATCTATACTAAAAAAGACCTCAATGGATCCCAAGGGCAGTGAAAGATTGAGATAAGAACTTCAGGACTATTAAAAAGGATGATGGAATAAAATCATAGCATTAATGATCTTGAAGAACAGTTCAGATGTCAAGTGCGGCGAATTACTTGTACACTTTTCTTGATCATGATCATATGGGAAAACCCACTCAATTAATCTTTGAATGAGTGATGGTGCTAAGGTTGGGGCTAATATTGGTGATCTCAAAGAGGATGAGGACTTGACTCTAGAAGAACTGGCTGAAATAAAGGGTTGGCATGGTGATGACGACTAGAATTATCCTTAGTATTTTGGTATGGAGATAACTGCTCATTAAGACTAAGTTATTTTAATTTTTGCAAATGATGTATATGAGTCTTAATATATTTTGAAATTATAATTTATAATTACTTCAATTTTAATCTAAATTTATTTATTTCTTATTGCTTTACTACTTGAATATTTTGTAAGCTGAGTATTAAAGATGAAGATTCCAAATTTTATTTAATTTTTCTCTATAAATCTAAGTAAATTTATTTTATTTTCTCTTTTTAATATAAAACTATTTCACCAACTGTATCAATAAAATAAGAACATACAATGTGTTCATACATTGACACTCATAAACAATTTTCTACATGAATTGTCCCTTGAATTAATATAAAAAACACTTTCTATATTAGTTGTATAGTATAACTAATGTAATAAATTTCTTAAAAAATTTTAAAATTTTTTTCATCTCATATTTTACATCAATTTCTTTTATAATTGATATAAAAAGTCTATTAACACTCAATATAACTTGTTACTCTTACAAAAATTTAAAAAATCTCCTCTGGCTCATTTTTACATCAATTTTTTTTAGAACTTATGTAAAAAGATTTTTATAAACATTCAATCTAATAAGTACTTATTACATCAGTTATAAGAACTTGTATAATTAAAAAAAATTTGTACAATGTCATTTTTTCACTAGTAACATAATATCCTATGTTTATCAAATTGTGCGAATAAGTCATTTTCTTATTGAAAGATCTAATATGACTGTGAACTCTCATTGTGAAAAATGTTTATTGATATTTTTCCTTAATTATCAAGTACACGACTTAGTCTAATATTATTTACCAATTAGATTAACGTGTGCCACAGAACAACAAGAAAATACAAATTCATATAAGTCTTGAATCAACATAAAAAGCATACAACATTGTCTCCCAAATTGTCAATCACTTGTCAAATTCGCCTTTATGTTATGTGTTTTTGTGTACATAGGAAAATGTTAGGTAACAATACAATACAAATAAATTTATTCTTTATAAATTTTGCTGTAGCTATTAATAATATCATGAAAAAAAGTCCTAAAATAATGTTTTGTTACTATTCTTGTGCTAGTATGGGTCCATTTTTGTTACTATTATTTAGATCACCTTAATTTCACATTCACATACCAAAATCAGTTATATAATTATGGAGCGATCTTGTGGGAAATTATTCAGCAAAATGTGTTATGTATACCTTTTTCTGAAGTTACTCAAAATGATGAGTAGTGCAGACTCTAGGAACTAAGCAAAATAGTGACATGATTCAAGCACCACATTACCGACACACTGAAGAATAAATGGAAGATTACCTGAGGCAAAAACACAAAAAGCTATATAGGGCAAAAGGTGTTAACGGAGCTTCGTAATTTCACTGAACGAACTAAAATTTAAAAATAAAATAATAAAATTATATTAATATATTTTTTGTATTCTTAATTATTTTATTATTATTTATATTTAATTATTATATTAATATATTATATTATAATTCTTTTTATTTATAATAAATAGAAATTGTTTAAATATAAATTATATTTTATTCAAAACAAAAAATTTATAAAAAATATAAAAAAATAAAATAAGAAATTCAATATATAATAATAATAATAATAATAATAATAATAGAGCTATGTAGTAAATAATATAATTTTAAATAAATTATATGTAATAATATATATATATATATATATATATATATATATCTTTAAACTTGTCACATATTTTATTTTTATTAGTATAAATTTTTTGAGTATGTTACCCATAAAAAAAATTTTAGATATCACAGAACACACTAATAAAGAATTCTTTCTTTTATAGATTGTTTCAATAAACGACTAATAATTACTTACATTTTTTTACTTTAGCAGTTTTGTTATTTAATTGCTAAGAAAAGTTTGAGTATTTTTTAAATATTATTTATATATTTCTTAGTATTGATTATAAGGAATTGCTAAGAATTTTTTTAATTGGTCTATTTAATCACTAAAACATATTTTTTTCCTTAAAGGTATCAACAATAACTACTTCAAAAAGGTGCTAAATATGTTGCAGTGTCATATATTGATGTTAATCGACGTATAGATATATAATTTTACAATCAATATTTAATTATATTTTAAAATTATATGTTATAAGTTAAAATAAAATTGTTCGATAAATTATGAATTAATTTTTATTTATATGATTGTTTATATGCATGTTCTGTTTAAAAATATTTAATTCAATGTTTATAAAAAATTATTAAACAAAATAATTTTTATTAAAGTTACTTGAAAGTAGCTTGATGTCTAGTTTGTTTACATTTTGAATTAGTATTTATACTTTAAAAATTTAATACAAAATTATTCATAATTTCTTTAATTAAAAAAATAACTACTTTAATAAAAATTACACGGATTATAAAATTTTGGTGAAATTAATTCATTATGATTGAAGTGTATCTTTTAGGCCAATTAAAGTTAAGTATTTCTCCTAACAGTCACGCTTTTAATTATTTATTCGATAAATTTCAACAGTGTTCCTCTTTAACCACTTTGTCTATCGATAATCATACATTAATATTTGTATTTAACTGAAAATTTAGTACTTTTGCCGTTTTATTTTACTTTTAATTTTTTATCTCTTTATTTAATCTTAATTTAGTTCTTTTCATTAATTATGGCAGTAAAAATTTCCCAAAATAAATAAAGCATTCAATTGAAATCAAATAAAATAATTAAAAATTATAATAAAATAATTTTTTAAAATTAAATGAAAATAGAAAATAAAGCACTAATTTTTCTTATCTAATAAATAAAGTTTTGTTGGTATATATATATATATATATATACACACACCAATGAAAATAGAAAATAAAGCACTAATATATATATTAGTATTATAAAATAAGACCAATTAAAAAAATCTAATTAAAGAAATGTAATCAACTTTTTCTTTTCCTTAATACCAATGCCAATTCTTAGTATGATCGTATCGAACCACCGTCTCGCCATGCAAAGTTTCTAATGAGTATTAACAATGATCAGCACTAGGAAATACATTTTGGCATAAATCTAAAATTTCATCAACAAAATAAAACCAAAGCCAAAGCCAAAGCCCAAAATTCATCTCAATTCCTTCTCATTCTAACGTGCCAAAATCAAAATCCCTAGCAAGTAGCATTAATTAGAAACTCTATTGTTAGAGTCAATATTTACAGAATTTTCTCAAATAACTCTACTTCTCACGAATCAAATTCACATTTAACTCACTGCATACCAAATTCTCTTTAAAGAAAGTCTTCTGAGTTCTAACAGTAATAAAAAAAATGAGGAACTGCTAAATTATTTGAACCTCGTGTTTAAAATAGATGGTAGAATTTCATGGGTGTGTTGTGACATAGGCCTTGAAATCAAAATTCTTGTAGACCACTATGTAACTTGATTTCTAAATTTATTTCTCAAGATTAATACAGTAATGCGCCTAAACTCCTGGACTCAAGGATAGAACCGTATTGGAACCTTCACAATAAATTGCCACAGAGAAGAGAAATGAACTATAGAAATGCAAGGAAATAAAACAGGAAAAAAAAAACAACATAAAAATATAAATTCGTCAAAGAAGTGAAATGTACTCTTCTTTTTAGTCCAGATGACAGAGTTAATGAATTAGAAGATCATCAAAGAGAATTAAACAACCATTATAGTCAAAGTCAAAAGGCTAATTGATAAGTCACAAAAAGCAATTAAAACAATCTGTAACAGTCTCATCTCAACAACTAAAATGTAGTTTAAAACATTTCTATCTACCCAATTTCATTGCCATTATACCAACACCTCATACTTGGTTTCTCTTGGTAATTAGAGCACAGCCAAAGCCATGGAACGATCCATGCTACCACCCTTCAACACTCTGGTTCTGCTTCCAAACTTTTTCTTCTTTACAACACCCCCTACTTCCATTTTATGCCCAAAAGGAATAGCAACAAGTGCTGAAGGTACATGATCCACATTATTGTCCCTACAAGCCCCACCATTCACAAGAATCCTCGTGATCCCCACATAGTGCAAAGACTCAGCAATTTGCAACACACTCACACCCTTACTAGTCCTTGCTTCAACATCAGCACCTTTCTTCACCAAAAGCTCAGTCACATCAGCATGCCCGGATTCAACAGCACAGTGCAATGCAGTGTACCCTTCTTCATCCTTTGCATCAACGTCTACCCCTCTCTCCACAAGAACCTTAACTGCATCAACTCTCCCTTTGAACGAAGCTCTATGCAGTGCTGTCCAACCATGTTGGTCCCTTCCATTGATTCCTGCACCATTCTCTAGAAGCTTCTGGATGCTCCTCACTTCACCTTTCCTTGAAGCTATGCATAACTTATCCCCTAAACACAAAGCATCAAAGAGGTGAGCATGCCCATTTTCATCTGCAATATCATATGCTGTTTTCCCTTGTCCATTTCTCACACCCTTTTTAGCACCACCCTTCTGGAGCAAGAGCTTGACTATGCTCTCATCACCTAATGACGACGCTATATGTAAAGGGGTGTCACCTTCTCTTGAGTTTGTAACATTTGTATTAGCACCGTTTGCCAGCAAGAGTTTTACACAGTCTCTTCTGTGTTCTTCAACTGCAAGGTGCAAGGCTGTGTTACCATCTCTTGTGAGTGAGTCCACTTTGGCTCCTTTGAGCAAAAGAAGTCTTAGAACCTCTACGTGCCCTCCTCTTGCTGCATGATGGATTGGACCAAAGAGGGAAGATTCTGATCGTTCTGTGTTGGCTTTGTGAGCCAAAAGAAGCTCAACTATTAAGGCTTCACCAGAGGAAGATGCAGCCTCAAGTGGGGTTGAGCCAGAACAGTTTGTTGCTTCTATGTCAGGCTCAAATTCTAGGAGCAATTGAACAAGATCGGGTCTTTTTTGTGAAATTGTCAAGTGGAGCAATGTTTGGCCTTGTGGGTCAGTGGAGTTCACAGATTTCCATAGTGGGTCACTTTTTTCTAGTACTTCTCTTATTTCATCCATTGAACCATGTGCTACAAGTTGGGATAGAATCTGTGACCCCACAAACATGACTTTGATGCCACTGTCTATGAAGACTTGTTTCTTTTTGGTGGTAAAATAGTCATTAGGGACAGCATCAAACATGGAAGAAGGTTCCTTGATTGCTGCACCAGGAACAAGCACACTGTGTAAGAGAAAGGTGTCATCTGAGTGAGGGAAAGATAAAGGGAAACTGGAGCCTTGTGGGAGAAGGTAAGTGATCTCTATGGCGATTGTGGCTAAAGGGGATATGATCCCTGATTGAGGCTTCACTGTGTAACGTGTTTTGATTAGAGGTTGAAGTCTGAAGGCCACTGGCATTGTGTACATCACATTGCGTAAGGTGATCTTGCCTTGGCACTTTTGCCCTGGTTCAACTCTCATTATTACTATGTTTGATGGATCTAATCTTATGAGCCTATCCATGTTTGTGTCTTGGTTGTCTCACAGCCACTTTGGGATATATGGTTTACGATTATATGATAATGTGGTTGGTGGGTTTGGAGAGAAAAGCGCCAGCAAAAAGGAATAAAGGAGAAGAAAAATTAAGTGAAGGTGAAGGTTTGGTAGGTTTATATGGCGTGCTTATCAGTATTTTAACAGCTTTGGTTAAAGGATTAAAAATAAAAAAATTTATTAAAAATTATGTTGAATTTATTTAAAATTTATTTATATTTTAAGGTATGAAGTGTAAGAAAGAAGGGTATACGAGGGGCCGGCTTTAGCTAGAGTGTTGCCAAGTGGGGGTGTAAAGAACAATGTTGATGACTTGTTCTATTCGGTGTTTGGACTGTGCAAGTCATGGAACATAGTTGAGTAAGTTAAAGAATCATAATCATTCTCCCTATTGCTTATGCTGCACATCACTTTCAGTGTTTTAATTTTATGATATTTTGCAAAGGGCCAGTTATGTTGTTAAATAATGGAATATTTGGTGATAATATTATACAGCTACTGGGGTCAGAAGAAAGTATAAAACTTAGTGCAACTTTGGATTCTGATTTGCTTAAGTCAAAACTTTGGTATGGAAAGTGTATACTCAGTTTAATTCACCAACAATACATTTGCTAAAATAATGATTGTCTTATTGGTTTAATCCAGATTCAAAACAACTAAAAATTTTACAATATATTTAACTAAATTTAATTTTAAGTTGTTCTTGAGTTATATTTGTTAATATAAATATTTTATGTTTATAGTAATGATATGATATATTAATAAGTAGTTTTATTAATAAATTTCTCAATACAAATTATTAAATTATGAAATATTAATGAAAACTATTTTAACAAATTTTGTTTACCAATTTAATTAATGGTTCTTTTTTCTATAGATGCTACATGGTTCCGGTACATTCGTTTACTTGGCCAACTATAGTGACAACACAAGTTATTGTAAACTTTGTCGCATAAATTTTGTCTGTTAGCTGACGGGCCCACAGCGCCAAATCTGATTCCTTGTAATTATTTGCCCTTTCATGTATCAGACCTTTGGGAGGTAGGTTTTGAAAAAAAAATATTATTTGAATAATTATTTTACTATTTATTATTTTAAGATTGAACGAAATAAAATAATAATTTAATATAAATTAAATATATTAATTATTTGGTAGTATAAATTTTCAACTTTTGAATAATTCGCAAGTGCAGGCACTTGTTTTTTGGTCAACGCCTTTGGTTCAAGATGAAGAAACAGTTCTTACTTTTGGGTTAGGAGAATATTGATTCAATCTACTACTATCATGTTTGTTGCGATTCTTTCAAATAAAATAAAATAAAAACAAGCAACGCTTCCTACTTCTGTGGCAAGAAAAGTTGCATGAAAGAATTCAATAATTCATAACTAGTTAAGTAGTAATGATTAAGCATGTTAAGCAAGAAAGGTGATTTTTTTTATGAATCTAAAATAAATTATACAAAGAAGAAGCTAATATAATAATTTCTCTAGTGTCAGTTAATAAAACTGAGTCTAATTGAAGATAACATGTTTTTCAAATAGTAAATGCTTGATCCGAAGATGTTTCATGTTTTGTCAACCAGTATACGCATTCATTTCTTTTAAGTAAAGTGTGATGAATAATCAGATTCTGATTATATGACATGAACTTTATAATGTGAACAACTAAGGGAAAATAAAGATGATTAAGTCCGTTTAGCATCCAAGATGTAGTTGTTTTGGAATCATATTCACACACAATATCTCTATATCCTTCATGTCAAGCTAAAAGTGAATATTCCCCAAAGGAACTAACATCCACATTTATCTTGAGAAAACTTCATACAGGTGCAAACCAATTAACTTCTTTTTTACTCGCGTCTTGTTGGTTGATCCAAACACTTTTAAAGTTGCTTCAAAAAGTGCATGAACTTAGTTGAGAACTTGCCACTCAGTCCACCTGAGATCTTCAAAGACTTCATTATTTCTAGCTTTCTAAATAATCCAACAAGTGACTGCAAAAGAGTACCATTAGTGTACATAGTTCTAAGTGGGAAAATTTAGATGCAAGATCACGGGTTAGCTACCAATAAGCATGTTTGGCTAAATAAATACCAAAATTGAAACTTTTCCATACTGTATAATGTTAGGGTGGATTCTTATCTCCTCCCATTGGGTGCATTAATTAAGGATTTTAAGAAAGCATTGTTTTCTCGACAAGTAAAGAGTAGTTTATGTGAACCGTTGATTTTTTTGAAGGTTAAATGAATGGCTAAGATTAATTGGTAAAAATCTTCAAACTTACAACAATAATAGTTAATAGACCTGATGCAAAAAAGGTAAAAGTGTAAAAGTCACATTCATTACTCAAGTGAGTTTTTTGGGTTTTATCATTAAGCATTGAAAGATTAATATGGTCAAGTGTTAGAGGTGATGGGATTTTAGATTTGTAATGAATAGTAAGATGATGACCTAGTAAAAACAAACTCTTCGAGAGAAAGGAAGGAAAAGTTAAAGTCTTTCGGTGAAGAAGAGGTCAAAGATTTAGTCAATAACAAAGGATAAGACGATGACAATAGGAAAGAGAAAGGGAAAGAGGATGAAGAAGAAATAGGAGAAGGCAAAGAAGAACACCTATTATAAGAAGAAAAGTAAGATGGATTTGGGTGCAAATGACTAAAGTTATTCAAATAACCAGTTAAAATCAAACCGAACCAAAGAACTAAACTTATGTGAAAAAACTAAATTGCAACTGTATGTGCGAGAGCCAGGTTTGAAAATCAAACTATTTTTAATTGAAATTTGAACATAACTTTTTATCGATTCTCGCTTTTTCATTGTTTTATTCCTTTTTCTTTCAGTTTGCTAATCTCTCTAACCATTCCTAATTGAAACATAATATCTCTAATTTGCTCCAAATTATTTGAACAAATATGTATATTCAATACCTATTTTATCTATTGTGTATATGATTATCTTGAGAATATCTATTTTTTCTAGGCTTGCTTTGTGGTTATGGCAAACTTTGATTTTGCAATTGAAGTTTATGATTTTGTTAATTAGTATGTTGTGAACCCTAGTGGTTTAGTTAGGAAATTGAAATGACAGAAAGTGTTGCTCCTTCCCAATTGAAAAATATAGTTGAGTCAATATCATTAATGTGTGTGATGAAAATATGCGAGGCAAGAGAATTATAGTTTTAAACTTTTGTTATTCCTTCTCTGTTTTCTTTACCTTCATATAATCTCAATTTTCTTTACCTACTGATATGCGGCTTATTCTCCTCTAATATATGAAACAATTTAAAAGAATTCGTTAGTGTAAACTTAAAAAGAGTTATTATGTTGTGAATATTTTAGTAAATTTGAGGATTAATTATGTATGCTTACACATAAGATAGAGAATGCACTAGTTCTTGCAAATCATTTACTCAGAACCCAATTTTATCAAGTAAAATAAGGTAATGAGTAGGTCAAGTTGTACCCAGTCAAAACAACTAAAATAATACTTTAAAAACACTTATATGTAATGCACAATTAGGAGCAACAACTAGAAAAGGTACTTGATTCATAACAAAAAAAAATGCCAGGAAAGATCACAATGGTAAGTTTTATTCCCTGTACATATGCCTCTACATCTAACCTTTACCATCCTACCTAATTCGGTTATTGAGATGACCTATAATTCACCAAGGTCAAATAGATTCCCTGTACCTTAAACAAATAAAAAAGTGTTGTGGAAGAAAAAAGGAACCATTAAAAATAAGACCTTTAAGTACTATAACATCTCCACCAAAGAGTAATGAAACAATAGAGAATGACTTTGACATGATTAAGGGAAAAAATCTCACTCTTTTATGTAAATTATGTGTGAAAGTTATCAGGTCAAGATTGTAAGATAGAATAATAAACTTTAGAGTAACCACTTAAAATCATATTACTCTAATACTCTTCAAAAGGTTCAAAAATCACATTCATTATAAACTACTAAAAAATGTATTTTAGAAAATAATGTTTTATTTTACAATAATTTTTTTAAATTCAAGTACCTTAAATCACATTAATAAAACTACTAAGAGTTTCATTCCACCTTAAAAGTACTTTATCATATCATAAATATCAATGCAGATTGAATGACAACTTTACTCAAAAATTAACTCTACACTTCAACAAACATTATCTCAAAATATGCTTTAAAAAATTGTTTCTTATTTTAAAATTTTTATGTTATTTATTTTTAGCAAACCCATAATTTAGACAAATACCATTGGCTTTCCTTTTATTGCATGATGATGTATGAAAAATTACTAAAATTCTATATAAATTTATATTATTACTTAATGAATTTGTTAAGATTTTTAAATTAAGCAACTATTGAATTTGAAAGCACAACCTATTAAAAGAAAATATGAGAAATGATGATTTATAGAAAAATAAAGGCAAGATGTACTCACTGACAAGGTAAGGGTTGACAAAAGAAACTATAATACTGTAAATTTTCAATGAAGTTTCCTAATTCTCTTTTATACCAAATAAATGTGGCACTCCTAAAATTTGGCGTTCCAAATTTAGCCAAACTCTTGCTTTAATTTCTTCTTTCACAAATATTATATGTTTTAATTTCTTGACTTTTTATAAAATTATATAGGTTAATAAAAGTTTACACATGCAAAGGAAAATAAAATTTCAAACTTGTATACACAAGCTTCTAAGCTATAGGAAAACTTCATTTTTTTCATTTGTGTTATATGTTAAATTTAAGAAATTTAGATTAAACTTAAATGTATGAGTCAGGTGTGTTTCGAATTGTTAACTTAATAAATAAAGATTAATAATAACTAAATTTTTGTTTGCTTAATTTGTTAATATTTAAACCCTACAAAAAAATTAAGAACTAATTCTAATGTAATAACCTATATAGGAATCAAAGTTTTTATCTTTAAATATTGTGTGTTAATTAAAATAAAAGTCCGTTATGTGCTTCATACGTGA